TTATCTCGATCGATTTACGTGGAGACACAATTCAATCCTGAACTTCCTTGCCAATACCTTGCAAACTGTGAACGGTTCTGCCCTCTACGCTGATGTGCCTGGATTCAAAAGTCCTTCAATAATAACTGGTGATACGTATCGCCAGGATTTGTTGCTATCGTTATCAAATGGCTCTCTTTATGTGGTCGAGCTCACTGTTGGCTATGAGACAAACCTCGAGAACAACGTTAAACGGAAAAAGCCAAATATAGAGAACTAGTAAGATAGCTAGATGAAAATTTTAACGAAGTAAACTTTGTTAATCTTTCCATGAGCTCCCTAGGTATTTTTGCGCAAGAATGCTCTACATTCTTGGAAATGTTAGGAAATGTTGGTCTCGACAAAAACTACCAAACGTACTGTGTTAGGAAAATGATGACTATTGCCATTCGAAGTACCTATTACATTTTCTGCTGTCGAAATAAGGAATGGGAAAGTCCGGACTTGTTAACTATTTGAAATGTTTGATTATCTTGTATATTTATATATTTTCATGTATTCAGTTTTGTCATTATTATTAGTTCATAGTTGTGATTGCATGTAAGTTACCTTAATTAGTTAGATTTACAATTGTATATATATATAGTATATAACAAAATTATTAAATAAAGTTTCCATTATTATTATTATTATTATTATTATTATTATTATTATTATTATTATTATTATTATTATTATTATTATTATTATTATTATTATTATTATTATTATTATTATTATACGTGGTAATACGTGGTAGCCGGCTGCCAATCGTACCTTCAGCGATTTACTTGGAGACATGATTCTATTTTAACCTTTCTCGCTGAAACGTTTCAAACAACAAATCCATGTCAACTTTATGCTGACCTATCCGGCCACAAAAGCCCGTCAATTATAACTGGTGACCTATATCGACCGGACTTACTCCTAATTACCCCAAATGAAGATCTTTATGTCGTTGAACTTACTGTCGGGTTTAAATCTAATCTACACAATAACGTTGAACGCAAAAAAGCTAAATAAAAAGATCTAATTGAAGATCAAAGGGGTCACTTTAATGCTGTTAATTTTGTAAACCTATCAATGAGCTCTCTCGGTGTGTTTGACAAAGAATGCTTCACCTTTTTAGAATTGTTAGACACTATAGAAATGGATAAAAAGCAGCAACATTACTGCATAAGAAAGATGACGTCTTATGCCATTAGAGCGACGTACTATATTTTTTGCTGTCGAAACAAAGAGTGGACAAACCCTGAATTGTTAAACATTTAAATTAATAACTACATATGAAAATATATATAATCATATACCCATTTTATTCTTGTTTTTACTGTAAGTAGTACATATGTAGTACTCTGTGATTCATGTAGCCAATTGTAAATTACCTAAGTCAGTAGTGAGATTTACAATTGTATATACGTAAAAAATGCAATAAAGTTTTCATTATTATTATTATTATTATTATTATTATTATTATTATTATTATTATTATTATTATTATTATTATTATTATTATTATTATTATTATTATTATTAATATCGTCATCATCATCATCATCGTCATCGTCGTCGTCATCGTCATCGTCATTATTATTATTATTATTATTATTATTATTATTATTCAAGCATTGTCCTTATCTGAGAACTTACCTTACTGAGCTAATTCACGGTGTTTGGCTATCTGGAACTGTCCCAACTGAGTGGAAAAGAGCATGTACCATACTAATCCACAAGAAAGGCAACAATAATGACCCTTCAAATTTCCGCCCCATAACACTCGAATCCATACCTTTAAAAGTACTTACATCTTGTCTCCGAAACGCAGTATACTCCTTCCTCGCATCTAATAACTTCGTCGAACACAACATACAAAAAGGCTTCATCCCCAACCTATCTGGCACTCTAGAACATACTGCACAAATGGCTGACATTATTAATAAAGCTCGGATCAGACAACGCTCTGTTGTCATCACCCTACTTGATCTTAAGAATGCCTTCGGCGAAATCCATCACAACCTCATTCAATCCGTACTTGACTATCACCATATCCCTGATCATATAAAATTTGTTATAAAAAGTTTATATACTGATTTCCAAACCTCGATAATTACCTCTGAATTCCGCACTCCTTTTATGACAGTTGGCCGTGGCGTATTGCAAGGAGATTGCCTCAGTCCTCTTCTTTTTAACATGTGCTTCAATACATTCGTTCAGCATTTCAAAGCTGAAAAATACCGTCAATTTGGGTTTTCCTTCAAATTACTAAATCCCATCCACTGGTTCCAGTTTGCTGATGACGCGGCTGTAATTACTGGCCAAGAATTCGAAAACCAACATCTATTAAATCGATTTTCTATCTGGTGCCAATGGTCCGATATGATTATCCGAGTTGACAAATGCAAGACCATTGGCATTAAAAAAGCCATCACAAAATCAGTTCAGTACTTGCCAAAACTCCTCATCGGCAATCAACTAATACCAAAAATCCCTATTGGAGAATCATTTCAATATTTAGGACGTTACTTTGATTTTCACATGTCGAATGATAATCATAAAACTGAACTAACCACCCTACTTAATGAACTAATGACTGATATTGACTCAAAGCCACTGCATCCCAAAAATAAACTGCTCCTCTACAGTCGCTACGTCTTGTCCAAGTTAGCCTGGCACTTCACCGTCGCAACACTCTCTAAAACATGGGTTACTGAAAATATCGACTCTATTGCCAACAAATATATCCGCAGATGGCTTGAAGTACCAATATCAGGAACACTAAGTACTGTCTTTCTAACAAATAACAAATTTGGCCTGAGTGTTTATCCTCCATCTGTAAAATTTATCCAGTGTCAAACAGTCCTCCGAAAAGCTTTAAAATCTTCTCCTAATGAATCAACTAACGACCTGTGGAGAGCAACCAGTAACCATACTAATATCCAACATGACGCTTATAACTCTACTAAGGAAGTTCTCAAAGATTTCCGTTCTGGACACGAAAACAAACTCCTAAACCAATTAACCAGTCAAGGATCCTTTTTCTGCAGCGTCACGAAGTTCGCTTTACCTCAGCTTAGCAAGGTGTGGTCCGTCGCCAAATCAAAGCTCCCGAAAAACATTTACAACTTTACCATTCGTTACATTAACAACTCTCTTCCGACGCGCAAAAACCTAAACAGATGGGCAATATCTTCAAATTCAGACTGTTCTTTTTGTCTTAGCCCTGAAACATTACTACACATAGTAGCTGGATGTCAGTTTCATCTCGACCGATTTACGTGGAGACACAATTCAGTCCTGCACTTTCTTGCTCATCAGTTACAAACTGTTGACGGTTCTACTCTCTACGCTGATCTAAATGGATTCAAAAGCCCTTCAATACTTACTGGTGATACGTATCGCCCAGATTTGTTATTATCGTGCTCAAATGGTTCCTTATATGTGGTTGAACTCACCACTGGTTATGAGACAAACCTCAAAAACAATGTAAAACGGAAGAAGGATAAATATAGAAAACTATTGAGACAGCTAGGTAAAAATTTTAACCAAGTTAAATTTATAAATCTCTCCATCAGCTCTTTAGGTATTTTTGCAGAAGAATGTTATACATTTTTAGACATGTTAGATAGTATTGGTCTTGACAAAAACCACCAAATGTGCTGCGTTAGGAAAATGATGACTATTGCTATTAGAACTACATATTACATTTTCTGTTGCCGAAATAAGAAATGGGAAAATCCGGATTTACTAACAATTTGACTTATCTCATTGTATATATATATATATATTGCATGCACTTTGTTCTGTTATTTTAGTTTAGTATAATTGTGATTCAAATAGCCAACCGTAAGTTACCTTTATGAGAGAGATTTACGATTGTATATGTATGTAAAGAAAAACATTTAATAAAGTTTCCATTATTATTATTATTATTATTATTATTATTATTATTATTATTATTATTATTATTATTATTATTATTATCATCTGTTTTTCTAACTCGCAACAAATTTGGTCAAAGTATTTATCCTCCATCGGTGAAATTTATCCAATGCCAAACAGTTCTTCGAAAAGCTTTAAAACTTTCTCCAAATCAATCAATCAACGAACTGTGGAAATCTACTAATACTCATACTAATATCCAATACGACTTTTATAACTCAACCAAAGAAGTGCTTAAAGACTTTCGGTCTGAACATGAAGATAACCTCCAAAATCAATTAACTTGTCAGGGATCCTTTTTCTCTAGTGTAACAAAGTTCTCCTTGTCGCATCTTAGCAAAGTGTGGTCTACTGCTCAATCAAAACTTCCGAAAAACATTTATAACTTTACCATACGCTATATCAATAACTCTCTTCCGACACGCAAGAACCTTAGCAGATGGGGATTGTCTTCAAGTTCAGAATGCTCCTTTTGTCTTGGCCCAGAATCATTATTGCACGTGGTCGCTGGATGTCAGTGTTATCTCGATCGATTTACGCACAGTAATTTTAGAAGGGCCATTTTGGCCCCATAGGGCCATTTTGGCTTTTCAAAACCGGGGCCGTTTTGGCTCTAACAGGGGCCAAAACAGAACACTAGGGGCCAAAACAGAACACTAGGGCCGTTTTGGCCCTTATTTTTCTAGCCGTTTTGGCCATGTACAGGGCCAAATTGGAATGTTAATGGTAAAATAAGAATTGTGTTACTTTGCAATAAGTACCGTTTTGGCTCTAACAGGGGCCAAAACGGATCACAAGGGCTATTTTGGCACCTCGAGGGCCGTTTTGGCCCCTATTCTTAATGCTATTTTGGTCCTAAATTGAGGTGCTGTTTTGGCCCCATATTTAGGTGCTGTTTTGGCCCATATTTAGGTGCTGTTTTGGCCCATATTTAGGTGCTGTTTTTCCCCCATATTTAGGTGCTGTTTTGGCATTATATTTAGTGCTGTTTTGGCCACATATTTAGGTGCTGTTTTGGTCCCCCATATTTAGGGGCTGTTTTGGCCCCATATTTAGTGCTGTTTGGTCCCCATATTTAGGTTCTGTTTTGGTCCCATATTTAGGTGCTGTTTTGGTCCTCGTATTTTATAGGTGCTGTTTTGGTCCCATATTTGGTGCTGTTTTGACCCTCATATTTATTGCTATTTTGGCCAAGTACAGTTTGGGATGTTATTCTAAATGACTAAAATTCATATAGCTAACTTTTCTTCAGGAGTATAGTAACACAGGGACTAGTTTCGGATATGGAGCCAGATTTAAGGGACGTCTTGGTGGAAGTTCTTGTCCATGCAAATGATGTAGAGATTTGCGATGACATGAAATGCCATCACATGTTATGACATGCGATACGTTAATTAAACCATAAAATTTTTATATTATGGTAATTGACATATAATTTTTTAGAGAATCCATCTTCATTATTTGCTTATAAGAATTTTCACTAATTTTCATAGGTTATGATTGCTAGCGAGCCGAGAGGTAAAAGCGCTTTTGGTTAGACTTGCTCCAAGTCTGCCTCTTGGATGTTCCTAATTAAAGTAACTTGAGTTTTACTTTAGTTTTACTTGAGTTTTATTAGTAGCAGGCGAGCGGAAAAGGAGCGAAAAAAAGCGGGCGGTTCCAAGTCTGCCTCTTGGATGTTCCTAATTAAAGTAACTTGAGTTTTACTTTAGTTTTACTTGAGTTTTATTACTCAAGTTACTTTAATTAGGAACATCCAAGAGGCAGACTTGGAGCAAGTCTAGCTTTTGGTGTATCTATTTTAAAGACAAGGGCTACGCGCGCAATGAGTTGTGGTATGTCGTGTATCGAATGTCAGTGTGAAATGTGTGATTTGCAAATTTTTTACTTTTTCGTTCGAGTATATTTCGACGAAGAAAAGCCTGCTTTTGACAGATTTTCGTTATATTTTTTATTGGACAAGTGACTCCGAACCTGCCAAAGGCTTATTTGATCTCAGGTATGAAAAATAATTGTTTATATCATCTAATTACAACGTCCATTCGTGGTTGTTGTTGCTGCTGCTAAAATTTGAATTTGCACGCGCGAGAATTCGTACGTAGTTTTATATTGAAGTTATTTCATTTCAATGCCGTCAAATATTAGTTAAAATCAACAATTCAAATTTTGAATAAACACATTATAGTAAATACTGGGTTTTGCACTTGTTTGGCTTTCCCCAAAGCATGTTTGAAACCACATAGTATAAAACTATATGTGAATATGAATAATGACATGCAGTTGTCATTATTCATATTCACTTAGGTTGTCTGCATCAAGCCTCGAAGTCAAAACATGAAAATTATTTGTGAGTTTCAATTTATCAGGGCACATTATGTCTTAAAGGGTTAGTGCTGCCCACAATATGGTAAAAAGTATAAACAGTAAAACTTTGCTAGCTTGAGCTTGAAGGATTCCAATCCAAACCCTTGTAGAGTTTACATATTGTATGTTTATGATGTTATGGTTTGTAATCCAAGTGAGAATATATACATTTTAAGACCTAACCAGGAACGACTGCGAAAAATGCAGTACAAGGTCCTTTGATAGGAATTGAACCCACAGCCCTGCGATTCCGGTGCAGCACTCTAACCAACTGATATTAATTCCAGCAAGTGGTGTGCAAGAATCTAAGTTATTCAAGTCCACCTTTACATATTGTATGTGCCTGTTTACATGTATGTGATAATGGCATGGCTGGACAGGAGGTTTTAATCCAGTCTTGCTGAGAAACCTGGCTAAGCAAAATAGACAGGATACATGCACCCCATCTGGCAGGGATGATAGAGTGCTTACTGTATATGAGAATTTCACGTCTTGGCAGGTAGGATCCCGGCAACAAGTAATGAGGTCTCACCTAAGCCAAATAGAGGTAGAATCATTCATTTTACTGTAAACACTCTAAATAGAGTTCATATTGCAGGAGGGATCATAAAACTAGTATTCTTTTTACAAGTGCTGACATCTTGTATTTTTGTTGCCAGCATACCTATTACAGCCAACTTACAGACAAGGGAAAGCTGCTTAAAATTACTACATGGTGAGTATGATTATAGAGATTCCTTATAGGTAGATTTTACCCTAGAATATTGACTTAGATGATTACTCATTAGAGTGAGTGGAAGTCAAAGCTTTCCATTCTGCACTCAAAAGCACAGTATCAAATGGGTCATTTCAGAAAACATCCATACCGCCCCCACGGAGGAAATAGGAAGTTAACCCCCTACCCCCTTCGGATGTCCTAATACATTTACTATTATCAGAAACAATTTTTTCTCCCCTCCCCCTCCGGACGGCAGAAATTTCCTTCGTGGGGGGAGTATGGATCTTTTCTGGAACGACCCAATATGAATACTGGGTTGATGCCAAATTATTGTCTTCTGTCTATCAAGACTCGAGTGGAGAGTGCTAATGTATTGATGGTCATTTATAAGACAAATCATAAATTAATCTAGAGAGAGCTTTCTTTGTATTACATGCACATTGGCTTTTTATCACATTTCTGGTAGCCAATGCTGAATGAACAAAATCCATGGATTGAGTTGCATTGCATCTTGATACACCCCGCTTTATTATTTTACCCTGTCTAATGCCAGACGATTTTACTTGTCAAGGGGAGAACACTGGTACTTAATGGATTAAAGACAATAAAATAGGGACGTAGGCACATTAACCCATTAATCACCAGCACTCCCACTCACTAATATGTCTGGCAATTGACATTAGACAGGAATACAATAAAGTAGGAGTGCAATGCAACTTCATGGGTTAACATTTTCCTGTGTGACCATGATTTCTGGGTAGTGATGCACCAACTAAATTGAAATGTCAGTAATTTGATGTCATCTTTGAATTTTGTGTAACGACATGGAATATCGGTGTCAGTATCTGAAAAATATCAGTCTTTCAGTATCGGTTATCGGAATATCAGTGAACCTTACACGACTATTTCTGGGTTAGCATGTTACTAGCTATAATTTGGTATAAGGTTGGAGCCATAGTCATAGTGAATCAAATTTTTCCTATGAAAACAAATATTAATTAAATAATCTATCTGTAATTATTCATTATGTAGGATGGAGTTTACAATGCGATAAAGAATCTTTGAACATGGTAGATGCTTACTAAAATGCAAGGGTGATGTTGTCGGTACTGTACAGTATTTGCGATCTAATATGCTACTGGCTCATTCCTGATTCCAGAAAACATTCATGGTTTTACCTCAGTTTACTTGTTTAACCCATTATGTGACAGCACTGGCAAGTAAAACAATAAGACATTATGATATTCATATATACAGTAAATGTGTTGCTGTGCATGCATATTTTACACATAATTTTTTGTAGTGACTAGTGGTGGGTATTGTCACACCAAAGTGCCCAGCACCTTGTAAATATTTTAATGTAATGTTTAACTTCATGTAAATACACCTTTTTAAACTTGCATTGTGTGATTATTTGAATATGTCTAATGAGCAACGATAAAATGGTGCTGTCCTCAGAATCAAAACATCCCGCTTTTGAAATAGCTAAACAGCCCCTTTTAAAGAGCCGAAATAGCCCCTTTTGAAAGAGCCAAAACGGCCCCTTTTGAAACCACCAAAACGGCTCCTTTTGAAAGAGCCAAAACAGCCCCTTTTGAAAGAGCGAAAACAGCCCCTTTTTCGAAGAGCCAAAACAGCCTCACGTAGAGCTAAATTGGCCCTTTTTTGAGAGCTGAAATTGCTATCATTCTAATTATAAGATTGAAAACAGCCCTTTGAAAGAACCAAAATGGCCCCACATAATAGCCAAAATCGCCCTTTAATAAGTAGCCAAAATGGCCCTATTTTAATGGGGCCAAAACGGCCCCATTAAAATGGGGCCGTCTCAGGGTCAAAATTGTGGCAAAAAGGTATACGTAATCCAAATTTAGCGTGCTCGCCTGTGTTACTCTGTTAGATATTGAGTTGATCGATAAAATTGTTGCACAGCAACAACATTAGTCTTTTAGCTGTCCAATAATGCGAATCGAACAAAAAAATGGCGATTGAAATCTCATTTTTCTACGGTTGGGGATTGGGTGCAAAACTATGGAAAATAATGAAAAGCCATAATGACACATGTATGTTTACACTCCCGTTTCAAGCTTGTTTGGCAAGTCACATTTGGACCATTTATACGAGGGTAAAAAATAGGCCGCTATAACGACTCGTATACAAAATCAATTTGCAACAAGCCACAGTTAATTGCGAGTTATTGTTGATCTATTGTGGTTGCCCCACTTGGCAAGATGGTGTCGCAAACCCAGAAAAGGCGAATTATGCAAAATTAGAGCATGCAATTTCGATCGGCGATATTTAATCGGCTAGCTCTTATTTGGTCACTTTTGCTTGGAATGATATAAAAAAAGGTGGCAGTCAATAGTTAAACACTAATCCTTGTTAATATGAAACAAATAGTACCTATGCACTTAATATTGAAAGCAGAAAATTGTATAGGTACTGCACGTACGCACTTTGCCGGCTATCAGCTCTGTCTGAAGTGGCTCAAACTAAATTAAATGGTAGAGTTGTTTAATTTACAATATAACGGCCATAAATAATAGTCACATACAAAATAAGAAATACCTTATGCAATTGATAGATTTTCTTTTTGCTGCTGCTTGAATCACGAGTGACCTGTCTTATGAATGAATGGTGCAGCGAATCAATCATGTGTGAGAAGCGGTGAACTGTTTGAGTGCGCTCTTGACAAGGAGAGGGCGCAGACCCAAGAAAAAATCTTGGTTTTTGTAGAATCAAACAGACAACACTAAAATGGTGACATTAGAACTGGTAAAGAGACAAAAGGGAATTTGTCAGACACCACACATGTAAAAATGTGGCTTTAAAAAGAAAAAAATTCCATTTAAATGATAAAAGTCGAGAACATAATCAATATTGATAATGAAACTGCTGATGACCATTTTTTCCCATTTTTATTTTAATAAGCCAAACTCAGAGTTTCTACTGGGGATCCAAAGGACGTGTTCTGAGCCGGGATAAATTGCAATGTTGAACCATAACGAAAAGCTCAGACTGGCAGAATTAGAATCTGCATGTCAAAGTATTCAACTGTTTATATATCATTTGAATATGCAAAATTTTGCTCAAAGAACAATTAGTTTCCGCACTGTTCATTCCAATTCGTTTCAAATTTGTATATAATATATTTCCTTAACAATTAAGTGTATCTAACTTTATTTTGCTTTACACAAAGAAGTGTAAAGTACAGTACTAGTATGAAAATTAGGTTAATTACAGTTCTATATTGTGGGTATGAGTGAAACGCAAGTAAAGATGAAAAGCTGAATACTTTAAGATACATATTTTGATGCTTGCAGCTAAGCTATACATGTTATGATTCAACTGCAATTTATTTATTTATCTCGACGTAGAACACGTCATTTGGATGCGCAGTGGGGCAGTGGATATGCAGGAGCTTACTGCCAGCAAAAAGAATATTTTTGAAAAAATTTTTACGCCCCTCCCTCTTGCAATAAAGGCTTGTTTGTTAGGCCGAGACATATACCGGACGCGATTTTGCGATTTTTCGAAGCTAGAGAAGTCGGTTACATGCACGATATATAATATTATTTCCTAACTAACTATGTAAAAAGAATAAAGATAATGATAAATAAAAGTAAATTACGAAAACAATGTTAAGACAAAAGACAAATATCAAATATAGATACATTTAATTTCGTGCGACCCAGAACATGCACTGTTTATTAATTAGGCTAGAAACCTACTGTGCTCATTCTAAGGAGCGAATAGCTCTTCCAGGCGTTGCAATACTAAGGCACATGTGGTAAGGAATCCCACCATCTACATATCTACATCTTCCAGGAGTCTGACTGTCCACGGTTTCGAAATTTGCATCGTTGACGCAGTCTCAAGTTTTAGTTATTCGCAAAAATTCCAGGATAAACTAGGCCGAATAATTACAACTCAAATAATTAGGTGTGATAGACGCTTGAAATTTGGGGAAGCTAAATTGAATTTTATAAGCCGTTTCTTACAATAGATTTTAAATTTAATGAATACGGTGGATGAATTTTGTGCATTGACTCATTTGCCCTATATCTGCTCATAACCATCAGGGGCCGGTTGTATAAAAACGTAGTTAGCGCTAACTGCAGTTAAAAAGTAGTAAAAAGTGGTTAACTTTAATCACGTAGTTAAGCCGGTTGTATAAAAGTGTAGTTAGCTTTAACTGCAGTTAAAAAGTAGTTAAAGTTAACTATGCTTTAGGGTATAGTTAACTGTCCAAAACGTAGTTAAAAATGGTGTTTGCATAGGAGTGAACAACATTTTTCAGTAAAACGATAATGAAAAGCAACGCTTACCTGAGATTTTCAATCGCTATCTTCCCTGTGAATGTTTCCTGACAATATAAACTATTCGAATGCTATCGCTTTGGTGTTTTTACGAAAACAGAACATATTTTT